TTTTCGATACCCATCCCTATTGCTGGCTGTCTTAGTGGGGTCCAAAAAACGATGTGGGCTTTATAGATAATTGAGAAACTTTCTGGAGGAAACCTGGTCTTGTTGGGAGAGACGGCATCCATCCCATTTTGGATTTCTAGAAATTTATTAAACCCCCTAAAACGTGAATTTCCAGAGTTGGGACCAGGCAGCAGAGTTGCAGTCTTACACATCTCTCTGCAGCTTCTCCCCTCCTGTTATTCTCCCAAAACCTCACTCTCTTAGAACGTCTAACTATTCATCATTGATTGAAGAAAATAAGAACACCCCTAGGTTTCGCTTCAGCACTGTAGCCAGGCTGACAGAAAGTCAGAGCGCTCTCAAGGGATTATAGATGGGAAACATCCCTCTTATGGGACACTCCCAATAGGGCTTAAAATCTGGGACTATGCACCATTTGCTCTTAGAACTGAAGAAGCTTCTCAGATAGAGGTGAAACATCTTCAAGAAACTTAAAGAAGTCCAGTCGCTTTTCCAAGATCCTTAGATCAGTGGAAGAAATGTTTCGTTACTCATCCAAGTGACTTATTCAGTCTCAGGTGAATGGAGATTTCCCCAACCTTATAAACAGTACATTTTCATCATTTATGAATAGCAGATGTGTTGATGCATGCTCAAAGTTGAAGCTTCAAAATGCAGAGTTCTCAAGCAGTGGGTGAAATCAAGCTAGTTGCATCTACCTTTCAAAAACAAAACCTTTTTTCCAAACAAAATGGGAAGATGTAGTAATCCTACATCTTCCCATTTTGTTGTATGACAACTGGCTCCTGAACATTGATTAGTTACAAACAACAGACACAGCTCTTTTATTGGTCAGGAGATATTTTGGAGCATTTCTGCTCTTTCCTTTTCATTTAATCTGCTTTTGCTGTTCCTGAATGTAGTGATGGAGCTCCTCTCTGCAGTTAATAGACTGTTGTGCTACCTAGCTACGTACCATTACTCAGCATATTAAATAACAGGTTAAAATATTTCAAATGAATACCTTTTCGTTTCTGTCTATATACAGGTATTTGAACTGTTGTCATAGATTTCTACAATAGTAACCAGTGGACTGGGACGATGCTCGTTTCTGTGATTTTGTTTGATTGGTTGATGTTAAGATACTTATAAATTAATGCCAGTTTTATCCTTCTATAAGCATAGAGATATTTTTTCTTTTCTGGTCTAGAGAGCCATGTTGACAGTGTGGTCAGTAAGGTAGTAAGCCAGGAAACGGTTGCAAGAAAGCAGCGTTTAATGCAGAAATAGAACTACTCTGCTTTGCCACACTGTAACTCTCCAAGCAGGAGGAACTATATACGTGCTGAGAATGAAAATCTGTCTGCCTTGGATGCTTCAGAATGCTTGCTTGATGCTGACAATGCTCTTAGAATGACTCAGAGCAAGTGCAGGAGGCTAGTGTGGGAGGCAGGAAAAGGAACCGTCACTCAGCAGATTTTCTTTACAGGGAGGGAGGTGCAGCTGAAGGGAATCCTGCTGTTTAGCCAACCCTATCCCTCTAAGTTCATTGACAGTCAGTGACATCGCTTCATTTCCATGCTGCTACTCTGTCCTCTATTGGCGGAGACCCACATTCTGTGGTGAAGCAGTCAGACCTGCTTGTATGGTCTGCAGTGATTGGCCAGGCTGGGCTGCAGTGAGGATGCAGGTTTTGGAGGCTCTCACTGCTGCATTTCCCTGGCTGATGATACTGAAGCTAGCACAGTGGCAAATCCTCACTGTGTGTTACTGATTCTATTGCATTATCAGCATCAACAGAAAAGATTTTTTGTCTGCATCTAACGATTTGATGATCCGTGAAGTAACTGCGCCTCAGAAGCAGTGTGGTAAGAGTTAGATGGGAGAACTTGGTTTTGTACTGCTGTAGCTTATGCTGTGATCCTGAGCCTGGACATTTTAATAAGGAAAAAGATGCACTTAGAATATGAGGCACTGAGTCTGAGAAGTGAGTGAAATCCTTTCTGCAGCCCCATGCTGTCTTTAGCTAGCCTTTCCACACTTGTAATACTAGTTCACCTCTCTCCATTTTGCAAGACCTATACTGTTGCCGTTGCTTTTGGTCTGAGTGCAGTCACCCAAATAGTGTGGGAGAGCCAGTTTGAGGATGCTGCTGGACATACTGAGCTTTCTATACCAGAGACTTTTTGGCAGGACACAATGTAAGCCTGCTGAAACCCAGCTGCCAGGAGAGAAACAGTCTGAGACTACAAACAACTGCAGAGAGCTACAGGCAAGTCTTCAGGAAAGCACTAAAGAGTCCTCTAATGGTAAAGAAATCAGCAGGAATAATGTTACTCCAAAGAAGACCATGGTATTAATCATGATGGCACCACCTACAGATCTTCAACAGGTAGGATAAAGCTGGTAGAATAAGGTCTGTTTTCTAGACCTGTATAGCCTTTAGTGAGAGTTACTTCACTGTTCAACTTTCTAATAATATTAAATAGAGACCTTCAAGACTGAAAAATAAACCCACTGTAGTCCCCCAAAATGCAGTTTCTCTTAAGAACACTTGGGCTGACTACCAACCATGATTTTGGTGTGCGTGTGTGTGGGTGTGTGTTAGTTAGTTTTTCTCTCTAAACAACTATAATGGGGGTGGATTTGTTTGAATCACAAATTTATACTTAGAACTTATATCACTATGACAAATATTATGCTTCTTTGTGATAAAAACCAACCATGAGGTCTGTGCTTCAGTTTTGATGATTGAAATTCTTGCATTGTAATAGTCTGTTACTTGATACACTAGTAGGTATCAGAGTCTGCAATAGCAGAAAAGTACAGTTAGATGGATGCAGTTTAGAAATAAAGTCATTCTTATATGATCTTAAAAAAATTTTTTTATTGTAAGGTAGACCCTACAATAATACATACAGAGAAAAATGTTGGCAACAGTGGGAAGGAACAACTCCCTTTTAACTGGAAAAAACCTCTGGCAAGTATGATTCAATGCAGAGGGGTCTATTAACACACAGTGAGTGAGAAGAAATACATCAGTGTGCATCATGGGAATCCCCCATTGCAGCGTAACTAAGGCAGGCTTCAGGGACACCTGATCCAACCCTAACTATATGCTTTAGCAAAAAGGAAAGTTTTAAGCCTAATCTTACAAGTAGAGATAGTGTCTGTTTCCCGAATCCAAACTGGAAGCTGGTTCCATAGAAGAGGGGCCTGAAATCATTCTACTTGTAAATACTCTAGGAACAACAAGTAAGCCTGCAGTGCGAGAGTGAAGTGCTCTAATGGGCTGATATGGTACTATAAGGTCATTAAGATGCGCCTGATTATTCAAAACCTTGTATATAATGAGAAGGATTTAAATTCAATTCTGGATTTAGCAGGAAGCCAATATAGGATAAGTATGCTCTCTCTTTCTAGGCCATGTCAGCACTCTTGCTGCAGCATTTTGGATTAACTGAAGGCTTCAGGGAGTTTTTAGGACATCCGGATAATAATGAATTACACTGGTCCAGCCTAGAAGTAATAAATGCATGAACTAGTTTTTCAACATCACTCTAAGACAGGATATCTATGAATCATTCAAGCATTAAATCATTAACACAATTGACTGGAGTTGGTTTAGAAAGTTTAATATGTAACAATGACCTCTGCCAATCAACAGTGCCAATGGAAAAGTGAAGATAGGAGTGCAGGCAGGGTGGAGTGGGTGGAGGCAAGTGTCACAGCTGACTTTTTGACAGAAGAATAGCAGCAAGAGTGCACAGTGAAGATTTCGTCAAAACAAAAGTGAAATCCAGGAAGGAGCAGGTGTTCATATGAATCCTTATTCACCAGGTGTGTGATGGCCATATGAACCATTGTTAATGAAGGGTACCGTCTGTGGACCAGAACACAATGATGCTATCTGCAAGAGGCGCATAAATCTGCCTCACAGAGGCAGCATCACTTTGTGTGGTTTTCTGTGATGGTTTCTGATATTTTAACAGGGCCTACCATTGCTTTCAGCTCAGATGGAGCTATTATGGAAGCTGCGTCATCATCCAGCACTGGTGAATTACACTCCCATTGGGCTGTTAATTTCCCACTTCTTGTCTTAAAAGACCTCATACTGCCATATCACCCCAGTAGAGCACTTTGTTCTCAGACTGCTGGCTTACTTGTAGTTCCTTGGATATTTAAAAGTAGAATGGAGGCAGAGCCTTCAGGTTTTAGACTCCTGTTAAAAGGGAGTTTTTCCTTTATTTTTCCAATATGAAGTACCTTGATGATTTAGCCTACTGTAATTGTCACCATAAGTATATGGATATCACTTTAAATAAAAAATTTTGTCTCTTTTCCTTTTTCTGTAGGTCAGGGTATAATAAGTTCTTTTTTATAGTCCTCTATAAAGTTTCATTTCACTATGTCGAAATCTCTGATGATCATGTGATTTTCAGTAAAAGGAGATTCCCTGGTCAAATTGCTCTTCTGTGTCATAGCATGATCTCAATAAGATGTTTTTGCTGATTAAAAAAAAAAAAATCTAACTTCATTTCGTTGTTTCACTTCACTTCATTCTTAGCATATTAAAACTTCATGATGGTTCAAGTAGACAGTTTCAGTATATCTTTTTGTGTGATGGTTGACCCCCCTTTCCTAATAGGAGGTGTCATCCATTCTTCTGGTACCCATTACCTGACAGTAGATTGCATTTAATTGTGTTTCGGTTAAAACTGTTTCCTTGCAACCTTTTCAGTTGACCTGACAAGCTTTGGTAGCACTAAGCACCCTGGATAGTCTTAAATATATAGTAACCTGAGATGTGTGGTGGTTGTAAAATACACTACACTCCAAATCAAGTCAACAAAGCACAGATGGTACGAGGTAGGGGATTGTACACCCTAACCTCGACTGCTGTTTGTCAAATCACTCTTTCCACACAGATAATGCTATACTATTAGAGTGTGTCATTACTTAAATGAGCTGGCATCTAAATGATTTCTCTTTGTTCACAGAAAATAGTGAAAGCCGGAGACAAAGACCTGGATGGACAGTTGGACTTTGAAGAATTTGTCCATTATCTCAGAGACCATGAGAAGAAACTCCGACTGGTCTTCAAGAGTTTGGACAGGAAGAATGATGGTAAGGCAGTTTGTTAGAAATAGAATGCCTTTTATTGTCACTATACACATGTACAATGAGATACAGAGCATCTCCTACTTAGTGCAGACATGTGGGAAACGAAAGGGGACGAGGTGCACAGTTCTGCAGTGCCATATACATATGAACAGTATTCAAAAAATATCAAATGTACAAATATACAAATCGGGGGGGATTTAATTGTGTTGTCTGTTTACAGTGTGGGTTATTGCATGTAATTGTAATGGTAGTTGTGCAGTCTGTGTATAGAGGGAAGTTCTTAGATTGGGGGGTGGAACTGTGTTGTCAGTACATGTGAGTTCAGGGTGGTTATGGCTTTTGGGAAGAAACTATTCTTGAGTTAAAAGTTAAAGCAGAGTTTGAAGCATTTTCTGAGCAGTGCCAACAGCTCCTTCTGTGGTCATAGTTTGTAAGTATTGGATTCTTAAACCAGAGTGCGGAGCCCATGCTTGTTTTTGAATAACTGATAGGAACAGATGGTTTCTTTTAGACTTGATCTTAATCCTAAAGAAATGCAGAAGACATAGGATTGTGAATGAATTTGAATTGATTTTAATGTCTGTGAGAAATCGTTGCAGTAGCCATGGCTAATAACTTCTTGTGTTGCAGGTCGAATTGACTCACAAGAAATCATGCAGTCTCTGCGTGACCTGGGAGTGAACATCTCTGAGGAACAGGCAGAGAAGATTCTTAGAAGGTTAGATAATGCTGTCATCCACTGAACACATATCTATCAAAATGGTTAGGCAGCATCGTTTTTTTGGGGGTGTCACATTTGTGGTAATAAAGTTAGCGGCACTGTTTTCTTTAGCCTCTTTCACACGTGCACGTCTTGGATTAACTGTGTCAGTAAATGGTAATTTAACTTTTCATCATCACATCTGAAGCATCCCATTTCTGTCAAGAAAAGTACAGACAGAGATCTGCACATTTTTGTGTCCAGTCCAATTCCTGCAGAGTTGGGTATTTCAGGAGGTTACTGTCAGTGCACACCTGGGACATCAGCCTCTCCTTTACTGATAATTTCAATCTCTTCTGGGAACGCAGTCAGTTATTCAGATACAATGGCATACATCCAATTGGACTTTGAACAAAACTTTTTTCCTTCAATACTTCTGGTATTATCTACTCATGCATTCCTGTCCTTTGAACTACTCACAGTTTACAGTTGCTAATATATCACTATATAACTTTCCCAAACCGCTCTCTCATAATACAATAAAAATTAACAAGAGACCAGTCACCTACAAACCAGCAAGCAGACCTCTAATACACACTGCTTTTGTAGACCTTATTGGAACACATCACCCATGAGGCATCCAGGAAGCATCCTTATCAGATGCCTGAACCACCTCGACTGGCTCCTTTTAATATGGAGGACTCTATCTCTAAGGCAGAGGCCAGCCACCCTTCTGGGAAATTTCATTTCAAGCTGGTCCATTTACCACAATGGACCAGTACAACACTGCAGCTTGTCGATTGATGGTATGATCACCTGTCGATCTCCCTCTCCCTGTGAACAAGACCCCGAGATACTTAAACTCCTCCACTTGGGGCAACAACTCGTCCCTGAACCAAAGTGAGCACTCCACCCTTTTCTGGCTGAGGACCATGGCTTCAAACTTGGAGGTGCTGATTCTCATTCCCGTGAGGAACGAGGTCAAATTCCTTTTCCAAATGATATACAGAATGACAATGTCTAAAGCGGAACAGGCAGGAAAGGGAAAAAGATGAAAGATGTAATAAAAGGACAAAGAGAAATACAACTAGAACACACAGTACAAAGAAATGCACAATATATCACCAACTGCTGCACCTGTAAGATAAACAAACATACAGCAACTGGAACACAAAAATTCTGAAGTGCACAGGAACATAAATCAACAATCTTCGTGACTTTTTCACAAAATGTACTTAAAAATGAACCCACAATAATGCCCCCCAGGAGCCAGAGGCAGATAGAGATGAATCAAGGACAACTGGGCCATCCACAGTCCCCAAAAGTACTGAAGACCTAAGGCCACAAATCTCTGCGATATCTGCGTTCCCATCCTAGCATGAGATGGAGTAAAACCCCATGTGGGGTGCCCACGGTCAAAGGGTGGGAGGGGGCAAACATTCTCTCCAGACTGATGTGTTGTGTATCTGCTTCCATATCTTGTTAACTTATGTCACTAAAGATTCACCGCTTGTGTGAGGTTTGGGATACAGCAACTAAACCATGTGAATAGGACCTCTGGACAGGCATGTAATACTATATAGCATGAATATAGTTTTCAACAGAGTTGTCTTTGCAATGGGTGCATATACTTGAGTGTGTACCAGCCATTTGGAACAACCTTTATTCTGTGTTGTGTTCTGTAGACAATTTTGTATAAGTTGTAAGTTGAGGCTTTTAGTCATTTTGAAGGTGTTTAAGCATATTTGTGTCCAGAAGTTTTGATCTGGATTGATGGAAAGATGTTCTGATTTTCATCCCTTTTTCATGCCACAATGAAAAATTAAGTTTTTTCTTTTTCAATTTACAATGTTTTTCACCCGTGAAGTGTAGTTTTGGTCTTTTGCTGCTGGTTCAGTATATTTTGGTCGGAGTGATGAAACCTGCAGTTTGAAATTCTGTGAGATGCTTTCAGCAACCGATGGCATGTCCATGTATGTGCCATGGGGTGAACGGAAAGATCCACGCTTTGTGTTTACATCTTTTTGCGGAATCTGTTTACCTGCTCTTTAATTGTTTGCTGTTTTAGCTGTTTGGTGGTTGTTGAAATGGTTTTGTGAGCTTTTAACTGAGATTCTGACTTTTCTGTGGATACCACACATGTCTATATTTAAATAACAGATCTGGTGGTACACCCCGATAAAGCAGATGTTCTCCCTCTCACCTCCAGTACCGGTGGCGTTGGGCTTCAACAAATTAATTATTTATTGCCTCTTACTTTCTGTAGTGTGAATGGCCATAAGGGGTTTTTAATCACTAGGAAAAGCTGCAAAACTTATGAAAATACAGTAAAGTCCAAAATTTCTGCTTATGCGGTTATGTGGTGAGCAGCAGATCAAACAAGTTAAGAATTATAAATGGCTTCAAGGGCACATTCGGACCTCTGAGACTCATTTAGACACATGCAGACATTTCTGCATCTCTGTCATTCAAAGAAACTTTGTAAATAGTTTATTTTATGCAATATTGAATACTGAGCTGTAAATGTACAACGTTTTATTCAGTGTTTTCATAACAGCCTAATTTTATAAGAGTGCAGTTTAGGCAGAGAAGGTTTTGTAGCATCTAATTCTGTAGTATCGAATTTAATCTGATATGTTCCCATATGCATTTAGTACAACTAGGGAGAACACACATGAGGTTTATGGACTGTACAACTTTTGCCCTCCACAATGGCTAAAAATAAAAACAGGTATCACTTTAGCCAGGTAGGTGGTATTGTGGGCACAAACAGAACTTTGTCATTTTTAATTCCAATTTTAATCAAGTCTTGAAAAGGAAAAGTGTTGTGGTGTTGCTGTCAGATTGCCCTGTGATTGTTCTGTTTGTCACTCCCGTCTCCACTCATGTTTCTAATTTCTGCTTTATGTCAAGGTTCAGTGTGATCATGTCTGTTTCCTCTAACCTCCTCCGTGTCTGTCTTTGTCTCCTTTTCTCTGGCTGATCTCAGAATAAGGAGGGGTCATATCTGGGCCCCTATTATGTAGTAAGTAGTAGCTTCTATAGTCTGCTTGCTCAGCCAACGCTGCACAAATCACCAATGCATAGTCAGCACGTCTGACTGCTGACTATCAGTTTTCAGCTTCAGTGTATTCCAGTGACGTAAAAGTGCAACATTTAATTGTAATGATACGCTGATTCAGGTTTAGCACAAATCGCTAAAGAAAAGCATCCTGCTACAACAAACTGCATCTGAATCCATGGAGGCAAATGTCTAAATTACTGAGAATAAACAGTGCATGTGAGCAAACTGCTTGTATTTCCTCCTAAAAGCATCACATCTCTTATACTCTGTCCGCTGTGTTCTCTCTTGCATCTGCAGTATGGATAAAAATGGAACAATGACCATTGACTGGAATGAGTGGCGGGACTACCACCTCCTGCATCCAGCTGACAACATCCCTGAGATTATTCTTTATTGGAAACACTCCTCGGTACACACTCCTCCTCTCCATCCTGTAGCAACACAACAATCACAAAGCAAATCACGTGATTTCCACTTGTTTTTAATTGTGTACATATTGTATGTGATGGGCATGTTGACGTTTTGATTAATTTTAAATTATTGAAAAAATAACAAAGGAATGTTCAAATGAAAAAAATGCCAGTTTATTAATAGGATAGTTTATATATAGGATATGAGGAAAATTTAAGTAATAGAGACACTAATCCCACTTAATAAGGGTTTTTCTCTTTTGCTTGACTGGTATTTTCTCATGGTGTTTCCCTGTCAATGCTGTAACTTATGTGTCCAGGCTAAAAACGGCTGCTTCCTCCACAGATCTTTGATGTAGGGGAGAGTCTGATGGTTCCTGATGAGTTCACAGCAGAGGAGAAGAAAATGGGTATGCTATGGCGACACCTAGTGGCTGGAGGAGGGGCTGGTGCAGTGTCTCGAACTTGCACAGCACCACTGGACCGTCTGAAAGTTCTCATGCAGGTAAAACACAACTATTGCAGTTTTCATTTTTCTCAGTTAAAGGAGAAGACGGCTAATAAGCATTTCATCGCACTCGCCCAGGTTCACTCCTCCAAGAGCAACAGTATGCGCATCGCTGGTGGCTTTTCTCAGATGATCCGAGAGGGTGGTGTAAGGTCTCTGTGGCGAGGCAACGGGATCAACGTCCTCAAAATTGCCCCTGAGTCTGCAATAAAGTTTGTGGCTTATGAACAGGTACACAAAACCAAGCGTTAATGGAATATGAAAGATAAAAATATGTAATTTGTATTTTTTTGCATAGCTCATAGCAGAGTGAATTTGTTTGGTCTGACTTTTATGTTGCTGCTAAACAACACTGACATCTGTCCATCAGATTAAGCGACTGATGGGAAGTAACCAGGAGACGTTGGGCATCACAGAGAGACTGTTGGCCGGCTCTCTGGCTGGAGCGATCGCTCAGAGCAGCATATACCCCATGGAGGTGAGAGAACAATGAACACAAAAAATAAAGCAAGACATCAGTTTAACAATAGCTGTAGCTAGGCAGCAACTTATAACTTACTGTATGCTGAAATACACTGGACTGCTCTGCCATGGAAGCTCCTGGTGCTGTTTTTGTTCTTCCAGAAGAGGTTTGGAAATGTGGTTCTTCATTCGGAGTGTTGGTGACACTCTGCAGCCACATTCTGGAACTTTACATGGTCTGACTTATTTGTTGTAGTTCCTAAACACTTCCAGGTTTCAACAATACCACTTACACTTGATCTAGAAGGGAAGAAATTTCAACTAACTCATTCCAACACTGGCATCCTGTTATTTCAGTCAACTCTTTATCTTTCACAAATTCTTTGTAAAGGCAAATTGCACAGTCAGTTCCTTGGCTTTATGCATCTGCAATGGGGCTCAAAACACCTGAAATTAAAGATTACGATGTGTGGCCCAATAGTTTCATCCATATAGCGTGTCTCAGAACCTCCTTGTCTTGTGACTGATGACCTTCAGTGTGAATATGTGGTATATGGGAATGAGGTTCATAACGTGAATTTGAAAAATGTTAATTTTATTTTTCCTCCTGCTTGTTATGTTATTGTAAGTACAACTGATTCCTGGGTGAGAAGTGCAGATTTTCTGTTTTTTACAAGGTGTGGCATTACTTCCTGTGCATTCAGGTCCTGAAGACACGGTTAGCCCTGAGGAAGACGGGTCAATACTCGGGCCTCCAAGATTGTGCTAAACATATCTTCCAGAGGGAAGGCGTGGCAGCTTTCTACAAGGGCTACATCCCAAACATGCTGGGCATCATTCCCTATGCTGGCATCGACCTGGCTGTCTATGAGGTTTGCTACTATTGCTGGGTGATAGTTTTTTGTTTTTTTGTTTTTTTGGGGGGGGGGTTATTAGTTAAGTCTAATCTCTGTGTTCACCTCTCCTCTGACAGACTCTGAAGAATTCGTGGTTGCAGAACTACGCTACAGATAGTGCTGATCCAGGAGTGTTTGTGCTACTCGCTTGTGGCACTACTTCCAGCACATGTGGACAGTTGGCCAGCTACCCACTCGCTCTGGTCAGGACTCGAATGCAGGCACAAGGTCAGTCACTGGAGAGCTCAACAGCACTGCATAAGACAACAAAGATATATACACACACACATGCACACACAACTTTGTACAGCTGTTTTGAAGAGGGTCCACATGGTTATTATACCAGGTTTAATGCTGTAAAGTTGGACGTTTTAAAGTGAGAGTCTATGGGGATTGACAGCCTAAGGTTAAGGCCTAAGGCTGCTACAAGAACTGTTGGGTTTTTGCGATTAACGATGATTTGTGAATGATTAAAGTTTTCTTCTCATAGCGTATTATTAAAAATATTACCCCAATTCTTTTAATTTTTGTATTCATCATCCCCTCTGAATGCAATGTTTTGTTCTCCATTTGTATTTATTCAACGTACACCACCCATACACAACTTAACAGTCACCAAATTTTTATCCATAGCAGAATTTTGGAGCAGTTACCACTAAATGTAGAATAAAGAATTTGAAAAAGTGCTGTATATTTGATGGCATCATCTTCCCTTTGTTCCTACAGCTTCTCTGGGAGGAGGTCCTCAGATGAACATGACAGGACTGTTCAGACACATTATTAGGACTGAGGGAGCAATAGGACTCTACCGAGGCCTGGCACCCAACTTCATGAAGGTCATCCCATCTGTCAGCATCAGCTACGTGGTCTACGAGTACCTGAAGATCACGCTGGGAGTCCAGTCAAAGTGACCAGGCAGGCAGACAGAAGAAAATAAGTGGCCAAAGGTTTTTTGTTTGTTTGTTTGTGGTCTGAAATGACCAGCTACAGTTCAACATATTTTAGTGCAGAAAATGAAGGACAAAGCTGAGATGTGTGATTTGAAGAGAGAAAAAACTTGACTGAAGTCATGTCTGTTAGTTGTTCTCTTAAGCTTTCTTTTAGCAGCTCGGTGGTGTTTCAGCACCTGTGAGTCTCAGTTTAACAAGTGTTCACATGACTCTGAATTACTGCTAGAACTGGAACATGTCCCTGCTGCTGAGTACTGTGAAAGGAACAGTCCTGCGTCTCTGTGGAAAGGAAGAATCTTGATCCTGGTGGGCTTTGCTCAGTCATGACACTATATCATCATATTGCTGTCAGCATATGATATCATACACTATCAGCTTTGTCTGTGAAGCTGTAACTGGATTTAAAACGGTAGATAAATGGTCGATTTGGCTGCATTAAAACGGAGATGATACAAACAAGAGAAACTGGTTCACTTTAAGCTAAAATCAGTATATAATGAAATAAAGGATTAACGTGATCCAAAGTGATTAGGGCCATTCTAGCAAATACTAATTACAGAACCAAGGGAAGTGTTCACTATCTCTGAGATTAAAGTAATAAGTATTAAAATAGGCTTAAAATAGTTATTATCGATGTCCTATGAAAAGTTATTGCTGCAAATCGAGGAAACCAACTCAGACAGTGAAACCAGCCGCTGCGACTTGAGCCGTTGGTTAGTGAAGTCTCATTCTGATCCCTGAGCTGAGAGAATTTTTTTTCCATTGGCATCTTGGTGTTTTGAAACTTAGAACAATCGTTATTTACAAGGTAAGGTAAACTTCATGTTGCGTTCGATATGACCTGAAGCCCATAAAGGAAAGTGTTCACTGGGGTCACATAAAAAGGGTGCTGAAGGCCGTTTTCCCAAAGACCTGTAAATAACCACAAGTCTTTGCAGCCAGAAGAATGAAGGAAAAGGCATTAAAAAGAAAGCAGGTTTAAGGCACTTTAGCACTGACTTCACTTTTCAGACCAAGAAGCTGTGTCCATATGTCACCCCCACAGTATCTTTTGTATGATTGATGTGGTTTCTTGACAACAAAGAGGGAAAAAACAGACCATAATTTGGTCTGATCATTTTTGATGTGTGTAAATTTTTTTCTTTCTTTCTTTACCACTACAATCATTGAGAATATCCAAGTTTTTTTTTTTGCATACTTGTCAGTCCAGGTTTTTTCCATTTAAAATCATTATCCACTGTCATTTACGTCTGCTTTTTGTTTTTTAAACGTAGAATGGCCCTAATAAGGACTCTCATATAAGTTTGCAGAGGAATTTCACAGAAAAATGGAAAAAAAAGGCAATGAAACAATAACAGAACGATCATCTAGGGACTTGTCGACACGCTGGATAAAGAGCTCTGTTACATTCAGTCTATGGTCATAAACAGTGAGATGGAATCGTTTGTTTTTTGTATTCAGTTTTGTTTTAATTTCGGCAGATACAACATGATCTGACCATAACAGACGTATTGTGCAGAATTCTGTTCTGAGAGAAAGAAGGTCACCACAGCAAACAAAACAGTTCTACAGGGAGAGTCACTGACCCAAGAAATTAGCATTGTTGAGCCACAAAGTAGTAATGCCCATGCAGTGAAAAGGTTTGCACTCATAATGCAAATCCAAAACAACAGACACCTCTGCATTAGTTTTTCAAATTGAAAAATGCTTAAAGCAAAAACTTTATTGACTTCCTCTCAGCTGAAGTTGAAACTGAATGTTGTGTTATCACACTGATCTTATTTTGCTAACATGTCCCAGAGCGCTGTTTGGTTTCTCAAAAGCTTCACCTCTCAAAACTGTAATGGAAATTGATAATTATAAATGAAAGCCATGTTTCCATTTTTATATAAACACTCCATAAAATAAGTGGTACGGCGCCCAGGCGGCACTCTCCACCTGACTGATGTCTGTATTATATGATCATCTCAAGAGTGCCTTGTGTTACACGCATAAATCCACCTGAACACTATAGGATAGCATTCCTTTTTTACTTTAAATGTATTTACTACTGTATTCATTTATTTATTTTTACAGAGAAGTCAAGATGATTGACTGAAACAGTGTGAAAATGTTATTTAGTGCTTTTGCTGTTTTCACAGTACTCGTGATAATGGTGGCAGAATTTTTCTTTTTGGCTTTAACAGACCTTCAGTTATACAGAAGCCCAAAATGTTTCAAATGTAAACAGTGAATCAAATTGGATAAATGCTAAATTGTTTAAAATATATATGTTATAATTCTGTATATTCAGTTTTCTATAAGTACATGCCATTTTTGCTTCGTATTATTCTTTTATTTTGTCAATTAAGTCAGTGACATCAATCCTGTCAACATACAGAAAAACAGCAATGAAAACGTTTCTCTCTCCTTGGCAATAATGAGTAAAGCTGAGAAAGTGACTGAATTAACCCACTGAGATTAGCTCCTGCTGTACTGGTTCTTAATGTAAGTGTTAAAGATATTGCGTGAGGTTTGAAAGAGAACAAGTTCAAATCTCTGTACAGATGATAGGTTGTAAAATAACACAAGCACCTACCTAACTATAGGCTATACTGGTAATTTAGAGGGTTGCATCCCTGGCTATGTAGCTAAATAAGTATGAAGATGATACTGAGTCTATATTTATTTATAGCAGCATCTACATAGACGTGCTAAAGGGCGCTAATTGCACTTGCTAACTAATGGATAGGCAAAAGGGCAAGGAGCAAAAAAAAAAAGTCAAAGAACGTACAAATTCCACTATTATATAAAATGTTTGAAGCAAACAGGGAAGAATGCTAAATAAAAACGTTTTAACATGTTTAACAATTTAGTTTTTAAACCTGTTTGTTATAAGTCTTAAAATGTATGTAATGTTGAATATGTTGGGCCTGACAACATAGAATTCATATCTGTGTGTATCATTGTTAGGATGATAAAACACTACTAACCCTACAAAAACATGACTTCAGCTTGGAAGCGAGAGAGATGCAGTGTGGACAGGTGTTCATCGTACTGATTCAAGTGTGTGTGTGTGCATAGTACTAGAATAAACATGAAGAAGCCAGTTGCCCTGATGTATAAAGCAATGTGCTAAACAATTTGTGTGTTTCTCTGGTAGAGCTGTAGTCCCACACACTGGACTGTCTGGTTGTGATCTTCAGAATGTGGGCTGCTCTCGAGAGCTGATTTACTCCAGCAACATGTCTGCTTAAGTCATCACTTTCTAGCTCTAGCAGATTATGGGCCTACACTTGCTTATAACAGCAAAAAAGTGAACGGATGACATTTACTTTATTCTTAATGTCAGTGTCTGACTGTTTCATGCCTTTATTTCTGGCACGACTGGTGTGTTTCGCACTCCGTGCTCAGTTATTGCATATCATGCATAAGGCGGTGACACAGAATGTCATTGTGCGGCTGTGTGTAAATGTTTTCTGTATTTGTACAGTGAAAGGTAATGCTGCAGTGTCTTAAAAGTAGCCATGTGTTGGCTGTATGCTGACCAACAGCCAATTAGGCAGACCCAGTGGAAGTGCTACCTATACAAACTAAAGGCTACGCTATTCATAAATGGTGGCCTAGTTTACAAAATATATACACTTTATATATATTTGTATTTTATTTTATTATGCTAGCTGTAAGTGAATGAGTATGTGAGTACATGTATAGTAGTTTTCTGTTTGAAGCCCCTGCCACTCAAAGAGTGTTGAGTTGAGACAAATATTTATGCTTTAATGAGTTCAGCTGTTAAATAAACTAGTTCATGACTGACTGTTTGTCTTTTTTTGGAAACTTAAAACAGACATCCTAAGCTCCTGTAAATATGGAACTGCAAAATGAATTTGTCACATCAAGCTCCAGCAGTGGAAGACGTCCGTGCATAATTGTTTGGCAATTTGTAATTGTGAAGACGAATGTTATTGTTGAACAAATACAAAAGTGTCAGTCAATCCACAAAGAAAACTGGCCTTTGTGTTTTCCATGAGGGACTTGATCAAAACATCAGGATGCAGTGCACCGTTTGATGTAATGAGTGTCCAAACATTGGGATGTAATTGGACAAGCATGTATTAGCACACATTTTGATCATTTATATTATAACTAGTACATAATATGTAACCATCGTCCCTATTTCCATGTCCTTCACCAAATTTTCATCAAAGCCATGACTTCTGGGTTTTTAAGTTAAATATGTGACTTTTCACTCCGACTCTGAGGTAGGGACCCAGGTTAACATATCCTCACTCGCTGTGTTTGACTCAAAGGAAGCTTAACGCCTAGTGACAGTAAGAGAAGACTTCAAAATAAAAAGCACCTGGCACGAAAAAATTTCACTTTCACTCAGACATTAAAAAACTAATCTGAGGTGCTTTCAACTTGGGATTTCTGGTCTGGTGACTTAGATGAATTTATCCTCAGCAGCAGAGGTGACTCTTGGTCATGTGAGCCAGTTTCATCATAGCACTTGATGGGTTTTTACCACTGCACTTGGGGACACATTCAAAGTGTTAGCAATTTTCCATCTCACTGACTTTCAGTTCCTAAAGTGATGATGGCCTTTGTTTCCCTTTACTTAGCTGATTGGTTCTTGCCATAATATAAATTTTAACAGTTGTCAAATAGGTCTGTCAGCTGTGTACCAACCTGATTTCTGCCCAACACAACTGATGGTCCCAGCCCCACTAAGAAGACAAGAAATTCCACAAATTAAACCTGACAGGCACACCTGTGAAGTGAAAACCATTTCAGGTGACTCCATCATGAAGCTCAGTGAGAGAAGACCGAGGGTTTGCAGCGCTGGCAACAAAACAAAGGGCGGCTACTTTGAGGAATTTAAATATAAAACGTATTTATTTATCAGTTGTTTCTTTTATGCATAATTCCATATATCTTGCTTCATATATTTGATGTCTTTAGTTTGTATCTACAATGTAGAAAGTAGTAAAAAAAAGAAAGAAAGAAAGAAAAACCGTTAAATGAGAAAGTGTGTCCAAACCTTTGGATGTTATATTTAACTATCTATGAACTGAACCAAATTAGTTCCTCCCTTTACCGTAATGCCCAGTTACACTATCGGGTTTTTCTGTTGTTTTTTTAGTGGATGCGGCTTTAACCACAGTGTGCAGTCAGGTGATCAGACGCTGACTTAACAGCTTTGTCGTGAATTTGCTGTCGTGGCCTTTGGTCTCGTGGCGTGGTCTGACTGACAGGAAGCAGTAAACACGTTTTGACTTCTGTAAACATGGAAGTGCATAAAGACGCTTTTGACTTGCCTTCTACAGTGTATCCTGTATGACAGGATTCCTGAGAGCTGCAGTCACGAGTTTTTCCTGACATTCAGCCACGTCCTCCGGAGCAGCGTGTTTCTGCTGCCTGATCGGAGGAGAAAGTTGGACATGTATTGATCTAAAATAGCTTCGGAGTAAAACGCAAAATGCCTTGTTTTGAGCAAGTAAAGCAGGGTTTGGAGAGCGCAGGGCAGGCGCACGTCCTGCAGTTTTGGCCGGAGCTGTGTGAGGAGGAGCGGGATGTTTTCCTCGAGGAGCTGGCTCAGCTGGACCTGAAAGGGCTGAAGGATCACTGTGAAGGGGCCGCGAAGGCTGCAGCCTCCCCGCCTGACAGTTTGGATCACCACATAGAGCCGATCCCCCCTGAGTTCATCGGCAGCGTGAAGAAAAGTGGGAGAGACTCTCTAGAAGAGTGGGAAAGACGAGGTAAAATACACATTTGGTGCACGAGTAACGCGTTAAGACACGGAGGGGGGGCAAACGTACAGACAGTCGTTACATAAGTACAGATACTGAGTGGTAAATACTCTAGTAATCATCATCATATATGAACGTGTGCAAATATGTACACAGAACAGTTCAAAATGGCGAACACTTTAAAGTTAATTGTAGTGTTTTCATATTAAATTGGTTGAAAAATAATTGTTTTAAATTACTTTGGAAACACTTTAGCCACCAGCTACCTGGCGTTAGGAGTGATAACCAGCCTTAGCAGAGAAGGGGAAGTTATATCATTTTCTTATGATGGAAAGGTTAATGGAATATACTTTTTTTGCATTTTGTGATTGGACCACCAACTATAGATGGAAACCTGAGCATGCGCACAGAAGGCTTATCCGATTATCTGGACTAGATTAGGAGTTAAAATTGGATTTCACAAGGTGTAAGAATGCTAAAATCAGTTGTGGTTAAAAGAATAACAAGTTGTAACAATTTCTCTTGTGAGTTCCAGGAGATTTTCCGAGTAGGCCAATAGGCAATGATCAGTTTAGACTTGCTGCTGCTGCTCTGAGGTTAACTGTCTTTCCACAACTCAGTTAATCCAAATATAAGCACATATTACATGAGAGGACATGGCGGATTTCCAACTCGTCTACATTATAATCCTGAAATTCAGTGAGTTAATCTGATGAGCAACATCATCTTAAATTCAAATTGATGTCTGCATCTATAATAAAGCTAATAAGCCATAAAATGAAGATATAGGAAAGAGTTTTAGTAGCTAGGCTAAGAAGAGAGGTGACAATCGGAGAACAGAACAAATGGGATGTTTGCTTTGAGGGTGCTGATGGAGAAGTACACAGAAGGTTGGAAGGAGCTTCGCTGTGTCTTTGTGGATCAAGAGAAAGCATAGGACAGGGTGCCAAGAGAGGAACTGTGATACTGCATGAGGAAGTCGAGAGTGGCAGACACGTGAGAGTGGTGCAGGGCATCCAATGAAGACAGTGAGACAGTGGTGAGCTGTGCATGAGCAGTGACAGATCAGTTCAAATGAAGCTACAGACTTTGGTTGCACAAGAGAGGTAAAGGAAAAAGTGCAGGCAGAGTGGAGACGAGTGTCAGGGGCGATTTGTGACAGAAAGAGAGCAGCAAGAGTGAAAGGGAGGTTTTACAGAATAGTGAGCTACTGTGAGGTTTTTTTTTTTTCTCAGGCTTAGATTTAAATCATTTTGTTGACTATATTTTGATGAGATGGTGAAATGGTAAGGGCTAACAATAGCAACCTTGGTTAGGAAGCACAAACTCCTTCAGTGGCGCTAACACATCACAGGACATATTATTTGTTAATTCCTTAATCTTCCAGTATTTGAGCACAAACACAGTTAAGTCCTTTTCACTGTGGCCAAGTAGATGGCAGTCTGCTACAGCTGCCTGTAGATGCAGACAGATGCACACATAACTTTAGGCCTTAAAAGAGAGGTTACGTATTTAGAGAGATTTTTAAATCCTCTCTTAAATGGACTCTATAGAGAAATGTTTAATATACATATAATATAAAAACATATAATACATATAATTTACATATAAGTTTATTCTGATTTTTACTTAAAAAAAAAAATCCAAATCAAGTCAGAGCCATTTGCCCTGGCAGTACTTTAAAAGCTACGACATGAAATGATCTGACAATGGGCTGTCATTGCTTCACTGCTGTCCTCTGTGATTGTCATGAGTAAGCACTGCTGGGTTATGACAGCAAGTAAAACTGAGTAATTTCTAAGCTCCACAAAATT